TTTAGACGAGAGCCACTGAGATGGGTTAACGAGGCGGTTTTGTCGTGACGGCGACGCAGCACAGGGGGGATATACAATAATTGAAGGATCCAAATGATACTTTGATGGCCGCATTCCTCTCACGTTTCCTCACGAGAACTGCTTTTTCATTGGAAGTGCGCTTCTTCAGCACGCACCCCCGCGGAAATGTATTTGTCTACCCTTCCCCTACAGACAGTGGATCGCTATAGCAATGGTAATAAAGAGAGAGAAAGAGAGAGAGAGAGAGAGAGAGAGAGAGAGAGAGAGAAGCAGAAACAGAATGGGGTTTATTGCGCTGTGGAAACAGTTCTTTCCGGCAAAACATAAAAACTGAAGGCTACAAGAATGCAGGAAGTATAATAATGAAAGGAAAAATATGGGAATACACATGAGGTCGCCCGATGTCCACTTGTCATTAAAATTTTTGCAAGAGGTTTGCACAAAACAGTAACGTAATTTTAAAAATATATAAAAAATGTAAATTTAATTAAAATAGATAAAAACAATTAAAATTAAAAGAAATAAGATTTTATACAACAGTTAAAATGTTTATAAATTTTTTCATTAATATTTAGATTATAAAAATAATTCTCGTTATATTGTCAGATTATTCACAAAAGTCCGTCTTATTAATTTACGGTACAATTGAGTGCAACTGAAAGCAAATAAATCCGATGAGAGAAATCACAGCGCGCTGGAAGAACAAATAGAGAAGAGGCAAAAATAAATTTCTCTCATATAACAACTTTTCTTTCTCTCGTCCACACAATTTCTCGCAAAAAATTGCAAAAACACGCACGATTCCACTATTGCTAATATGACAGCTCGGTCGATGAAGCGAACATCGTGACCGATACACAGGGATAGGGAATTACGGTCTGTTTGCGCCGTTCGGGTTGCGAACGGCATTTTTCTTCACACACGGAAGAAGGAAAGCGCGGAGAGGAGAAAAAGCGGATGTGCTTTTGTGAGAAAACAGGCGGCTCGCGTTTCCGCGTAATCCGACGGAGAAGAATGAAACTCGAGGGTAATGGGAAGAGAGAGAGAGAGAGAGACTTATACTTCGCCTTCATCCCTCGAAGGCGACACGGCGCAGCCGGATCGACGCGGCACGACGCGGGCGGGATGAAACGGTCGACGTGTCGGAAACATCCGCTCGCCGATTCGGATGAGGGAGAAAGAAAAAGTGAGACAAAGAGCTGGCGACATGTGCGTCGCGATGAGTGAAGAGAGCGAAGGGAAGAATTCGGGCGCGAATTTCATTCGCGACGGGAATGCAAGCGGAAAGAAGTAGACTAAAGAAGTGAATTCCGCGTGGGAACGCAACTCCGCGGGACTTCACTTGAGAAAGTACCTACATCGTCGAGAAGTCTCTTAGACAAATGTTACGGATTTATGCAGACAAATTATATAATACAATTGTATAATAAAAGTTCTGTATACGTATATTATAATTATTAAATTTTGGATTAATAGACGAAGAATCTCCTGTACACAAATTCTGAGAGCATACTCCTCTTTCTCAACGTTTCTATCATTTGCCATATATAGAGAAAAATGTAATCGCGGTATACATATAAATAATATTTTTATCTGCTTTGGCCTTTCTCTTACAATTAAATATTAATTTTAGAAAAAAATTAATACTATAAAAGATGATTGAATTACTTTTTTCTAATAAAGACGTCTCTTATTTTTATAATAATTGTTTAAGAAATCTCGTTTTAAACTAGTTCGATGAACTTCTTCGTCGCCGAATATATAAAGCTTTTACGTGCCGAAAAAGCACTTCAGCTTATCGCCGATCGCGTAAACACGGCGATCAAACTTTGCGACTTTGTTTATCGTTGTCGCGACGGCTCCGTTAGTATCGTAAAGAATGCGGGGCGTAATAACGGCACGATATAGAAAACATTGCGATTTTAATGACACAATCATTTTAACTTTTCTCAATTTTATAAGGGTGTGCCATATCGATTACGATTCGAGTATATCTTGTAAACTGCCTGCCGAAGATGTCACGATTTCAAAAGTCTCTATTGAATACGTTGAAATTTTAGCTCTCATGTATGCTTTCATATTCTGCGCCAGCCGCCTGTAATATTCGCTACTGAAAAATATATTATGCATCATTTGCAAAAAACATTTGCAAAAAAATATCGCAATTTCTACCATCACGTTATTTATCATCAAGAGTTTCAACTTTTAAAATAAACGACCGTTCCATTTCTTCACAAAATCTATTATATATAGTGTTTTCGAAATAAATCAATGCAGACAAGGTCTCGGCGAACAAAGTTGATTCCAGATTCATCGGCTGCGCTGAACTTTCACATTTGTATGTACGTACGTCGATCGGTCGAGATATATTTCGCCGCGACTCACTGCGATTTCATCTGATCACGAAATATATTGGCGAGTATTTAGGCGGAGGCGCGATATCGCCGCGGCCGCGCCGCGCGACGAAGCACTACCGTCGCACGAAGCGGCAACGAGACAGGTAGCCTTCGTTCAGGCGAGCGAATCAGCTGTGCGTACCACGTGCGTAGTAGGCGCGCGCGACCTATCCCACTCTCCCTCTTCCCTCCTGCCCGCACGCCGTCCCAAGGGTCGCAACTCCCACGCGCGACGCCTCATTCATAAATCGAACGCGCGCGCGTATAATTCTACGGATGTGATAACTTCACGAAAAATTGACGCAACGACGAGAAGGGATCACCCGCGCGGAACGCGGTCGTCGGCGCTTCGGTTTCAGCATCATTGTACAATATGAAGTCTCTCTCTTCGATTAACGTGATCAGCCTCTTGAATGAAGCGATTTAATTCAAATCGAATGAGAGAATTTCACTTACAATTACATTTCTCGAGTTTTTTTTTTTTAAGGAAAAACATTGGCGGATTTTTCTTTCTCCACGAAAACCTGCACTTAATTTATTTAGTATTTATAGAAATTATTTTTTTTTGTCTCTCCTTCTGAAATTATTTAAGTTTAATTGAACTCTAAATATTTCTCGCACTTCAATGAATGTGTATCCCCCCCCCCCACACACACACACACACACACACGCACGCACACGCACACGCACACGCACACGCACACGCACACACAAAATATATTTTACATATTATTATTATTATTATTATTTACAGCTACTTATTTTACATTATATGATACATTCGACAATTGATTATTATTATTATTATTATTATTATTATTATTATTATTATTTACATCTACTTATTTTACATTATATGATACATTCGACGATTGATATGCGCAGAAAGAACATCCAATAAAAATCGTCGAATTTCTCCTGGGATCGTATCGTTAATTGCAACGCAACGAAAGCACGTTGCGGCAAACGCACCTAATTTAGTTTTTTTTGGTGTTATGAAATATTGCAAAATACTTGTACATAATGTACCTATATTGAAGGAGCTTTTGTAGGCGAGCAATTTCAGTGCCGTAACTGGAGCATGAAGAAGAACTGGGCACGTCGGATTAGAAGTTACTATAGCGCGCAAAGGGAGAATACTTTCTTCTCACCTCGCGGAAACTCCCCCGAGTTGCAAAATCCGTCTGTAATTTACGCTCCGCTTTTGTTCACCGGGCGTAGAAAACACTTTCCGTTTATAATTCTAGAAGGCCGGGGCGGCCTCGCGACTCTTCGCGTTAACGCGAAATATTGTTGCTGCCGTATTGTTGGTTCCACGACGGTATTTCCTATTTCGTCCCCCTCCTTCCCTCCTTCCTCACCACGTTTATTTCTCGCGCGTAATTTTTGGTGCGTTGCGGTTCAAATATTGATGCCGCAAACAACCGGGAATGGGAAAGCAAGGCGCGAACGAAAATAAAAAAATAAAACGCCAGAAACGCGGGGATCGCGTCATGCATCGCGATCGACGATATATGTTGTATTTTTGGATTCCTTTTGCACAGCTCGCGGTATAGTATCCCGGTATCCCGGGTATATCTTTCTAGATTCACGTATGCAAGCACAGCCATCGTAAATATTTCACGCGACGCATGTATCGCGTATTTTATTACCTGTTCACAAAAGTTACAAACAGACCGATTTCTATTCCCGTGCGGAACCATCGTGCCACTTTATGGTTGCAAAAATCGAGCGATCCTCCGGGAAACCAGTCTGGTGTTGCTATATCTAACTCGAGTAGACTTTCGAAAGAGATTGCATCCGCTTCCGAAGAACTATGTATGTACCTATACATACGAATAAAATGAACCTGTCTTTCTCTGCTATTAACGCACAAAAGTTAAATCAGCTAAATTTTGCGACGTATGTGCAGTGACTTTATAATTTTTCTGATGATGGTGCGCATCTGGTGTAAATTGTATTAAAATTAAACAATATTTTTTTCTACATCTGTAATTTTTATAAAAATTCTTGGAAAAAATAAAAAATTCCAAAATTTATAATTAAAAATTTACAATTTTTATTTAATTAAATTTAACCCTAGGTACACACTGGTAACTCTTTTGGTTATCTTCCCACCCACTGCGGAGTCTGTGAAACCCCTTAATTGTAATACGTTATATCCGAACTGAAAGCATATTTTTTAACTCAACGCGTGAAATCGATACGCCAGAATCTGACAAAGATAAATAAACAAGAGTCAAATAAAAAATATTTTCAAACAATTTAGATACATAAAAAAAATATTTTATTTTCAAGTAATTTTAAATGTTTAAAAAATTTGTGTTTTACAAATTCGACAAAAATCGACAAAAATGAGAGATCGCATGGGGTACTTCGTACCCCTGTGTGTGTACCTAGGTTAATTAAAATAATTTTTTCGATATTTTATAACTACTTATATCTACATTTAACATCAAAATCAACTTCTTTCTTTCTCTCCCCCCTCCCCCCCTCTCTCTCTCTCTCTCTCTCGTCATTCTTAAGTTTGTGAATTGCTTGTTCGTAATATCGCGCCAATTTCCACCACTGCAATGCTCCAACATGTCGGTTGTAACAGCGGCGGCCGCGACCAATGGCGTCAGTGCGAGACGAGGACGAGGCGTATCGAGAACCTCTCGCTTTAACGCAGTTGTCAGTCCACATTCGTGTCTCGGACTCGAATTGTGCGCGCTAATCGTCAAGACAACGTGCGTCACACAAGTTTCGAGATGGCGATGAATTGCTTTCTCTGCGAGCAACACTCCGCGGATGCACAGGCGACACCATCTGACGTGTAAGGCTTAAGTTGGCGCATGCGTACGCTGACGTGTGTGCGTATATGTATATGTATGATGTGTATACATGTACGATGTGTGGGCTTGGTACGCGCCTGTGTAATAACGTATCTCGACAGGTAGCTAGGAAGATACTTGATGAATCAATATATTAATTTCGTAACGATATTTAATCGTATACGATTCGTCAATATAATTCTACGATTCAATGAAATTAAAAGGATAAACAACAGAAAAATAAGCAGAAAGAAAGGGAAAGGGAAAAGAAAAAAAAAGAAGATATTGATGATTGTGAATGGAATTATCAGAGATGGCGCAGTAGTAGGGTTTCCCTAGTAACATTTAGGATTGTAAACGGATTTAAGAGGATGCTTAAGCCGTCTGTTTTATCGACAAAAATACCATTTTTGTTGGTTACTAATTACTTCGTATTAATCGCATAGAATAAAATTTTCTTTTCCACGATTAAAACACACATGCTAATGTATCTGGCTCTGGTGCATTTTGTACCAAAAACGGGAAAAATGAAATAATTACAGATTTCGTTATCCATTTTAACCTCAACA